GCACACACAGAAGACATGTCACCAGGGCAGTATGGAGCTCACAGCAGTGAGGAGATCCCCACGCAGCCTGGCTGCTCCCTGCCACAGCAGGTCATGCCCGCTGGGCTGTGGAGGCCTCGGGGGAGGGAAGCAGGGCAGGAGTCCGAGCCCACAGACTGCACCTACCCCGCGTACAGATCTGGGGGGCGTGAGTCCCCCCTATCCCCTGGGAGCATGTACAGTGGCAGGGATCCACCCTGTCTGGGCCTGTAGCAGGGGGGAGCAGGGGCCAGGGGTGCGAACCTGGGTCCATAGTCCTGGCAGCTGGGTATCTTTGTGCGTATTTATCACTTATCTTTGTGAGTATTTAATGATATTTTCCTACTGTACCCTGCTCCGTCTCTGAAGTCCTGGAATGCATCTCTATGCTTCCTATGATATTTCTACCTCTGGTAATGAAGTTTTTGACAACAAAGTGACATCATGGAATGCATCTCCTTCATTAACCAAGGTATTACTGTACTTCCAAAGGTGTGTTTGCTTTGTCACAGGAGCTCTAGACTTCCCACCATGATTACCCCAGCCATTATGTGTAGCTATCTTCTTTGAATGGACAACAAGACCATTCACCTGGTTTGTGAGATTTTGTCATCTGCATTCTCCTTTTCTGCTTCCTAGGAGGAAGAATTCCACTCCTCCAATACCTTGCCCTGGCAATTAGCCAAAGGGCACCAGAATTGAGCAGGATGAAAGACTGGCCTGTTTTAACCTTGCTTTTGATACCTTTTCTTTGGGCAATAAGTGTAAAGGTAAGTCTGTCCTCAGAGATATAGGGATAGATACCGGTCTATCTATTTGGCATCTACTTAGACTTAGGCATGTAAGTGCAACTCTATTCCACTTTGTTCAATCCCCCAAAATTCAATAATTCATCCACTTTGAAATGCACCATCAGACCCTTAAGTCTAACTCACAAAAAAGCAGTGAGGAGCAAGATCCACCAATCTTTTCTGTATTAACAGGTTGTTAGGGACATAAGCAAGGTGGAATAGGCTGGTACTTAGGCACCTAAGCCCTTTTATGTGTCTAACAGGCAGAACATAATTCCTTCGGCTCTGAAATTGCATAATTCACAATGAAGCCATGTCCTAAATTTCATCATCGGTCAGCTCTTGTTCAGCTCTCCTGCACTCAAGCTCACTGATCTACTTCTTCTGCTAGGGCTGTTTCTAATGTCACCATAGCAGGTGCCCAACCAACCCTATTCAGAAGACAAGAGTCTGCCAAAGCTGTCTAGATCAAATAAAAGGATGAGAAACCTACATTAATCTGAGTTCCAGGATGGATAGTACACTGGGAGTTTTTTAAGGTTTGCCTTGACAGTGCAGGAAACAGGAGCATTTTCTCAAGGGAGATCTGTCTTCCCAGCAATTATCAAGCATCTGTTTCTCGGCCAGCCTTCTTGTGAGATGTAAGACCCTAAAATCATATCTCCTGGATTTCTAAGAAAGCTAGAAGGTAGTAATATTTCTGTCACTAGGAGGTCTGCATGCTGCTATAAATAAGGCAGCCAAGTGACCAGGCATAACTCTGAACATCAGCACAGGACTTCTCAACAGTAGGACACATCTCACTATTTAGGATATCAGTAAAATCCCTGTTGTGCTCACCAGGCTTGGCCCCACTACCTGTGCGGTATGCAGCTGCAGGGAGATGGATCACCATATAAAACATTACTAGCCTGAAAGTAGGTCTTCCACATGCACAAATTGAGTGTTTTGTGGATGGGGATGTGGGGGGAGAACTTTCACTCACTGGCCCCAGATCCAGCAGCTCAGCTCATACGCCTCAGAAACCAGCACCAGGACATCATACAGCTTTCCACACTGTCCTCAACCTTCCATGGAGTCAGAGAAGCCCTTCCTAGGGTCTTCCAGGCCCTGGCTTCCCCTTACATGGCACCCCAAAACAGGGTTTTTTTTGCTGTGACATAAGTCTTACAGTCCTTGTGGCAAGGAACATGGATGGTCATAATGCTTTTATGGTACGTCCCTGGCTTGCATGTTCTTTATATGCCACATGATACAGAACAACTACTTTAGAAACATTCCAGAAATTTAAAACATATTGAGACAACTTTCTATAACCCTCCCTTTGTGAAACCAGATAGTTTAGTCATCATTAAAATTCAGCTCCATAAGGAGAGGGATAGATACCCAATATATATAGAAACCTTTAAAACTACCTATAATGACTTTTTAATGCATAACAATGTGGAGATTTTAAAACCAAATCTCTTTGGATCCATTTGACAAGAACCACATACCTTATAAACTACGGAAAAGAAAGAGACCCAGATCTATGCTAGCCAGACAGGCCATCTGATATAAATGTGAAAACTCCTTGATGGACTGGAAGGATCAGTTAAATTCACACCACTATTTGCCTTGAGGGCTAGGGACCCTATTTAGAGATCTTGGCCCAACTGGGCTAGGCACCATAGAAATTTATAACTAAAAAGGGGATCCCTGCCCTTGGGACATTCCAAATTAGAGATAAGACCAGAGGCAACAGAAAGACAGAGATGGGCAGGTAGAGAGCACAAGGGAACAATGACACAATATTGACTAATAAGGTGACCAGCAGTCGCAGCTTTACCAGTGTCAAGGATTCAAGGTAGAGGAGGGTTTTAAGGAGGAAGATGAAGAAGGATAATAAGAGCACTTTGGGATTATCTCCAGGGAACTATTTGTATTCACAGTGGAAAACATGAAAGAAAGCATGAAGTTCTGTGCTAGGAAGAGTTTATAAAATGGGCAATGATGGATGGTATTCCTAGCAGAGCAGAAGCAGGAGTCAATATTTCATTTGTGTCTTGGAGAGGGTAGGTGAGGTGGGGATACATTGTGAAGGGTCTTAAAAGGTAAGATACGTTGCCCGTGTTTGACATGGTGGAGGAGGGGGAGCCAGTAGAGAGAAGGATAACATAGTGAGGCGATGAACCAGGAAAATGATCTTTGTCCCAGTGTGCTGAAGGTTATATATGGTATACCTCAAACCTGGGAACTCCTGGATTAAATCTTCTTGAGAACTAAATAGCTATGTGGCTCCCTTAACTCAACCAACACTGGGCAATGCTCGAATATAGCTCCCACTTGAATACAAAGAGAAAGAATTAGATGGAAGTGCAGACTGAACATCTGATACAGCAGGAAGATCAAATGTTTAATCAGAATTGCATCTTGCAGTGAAATGACCCCTCAGAAGTTAGCAGATTGTAAATACATAACTTAATTAAAAGAAAAAAAAATAGGTCATATTTTCCTTTCACACATCTGTGGTACATCCATACTTAATACTGACAATAACAGAAGAGAAAGGCCAGACATATAATAATACTGGATATAAATCACATTATCTCTCATTCTCTGGGGTTCTGTTCCTCCTCCATCTTTTCCTGGCAGTGCTTTGCATTATTTCTCCTTCTGCTTCTGCAAGTGATGTGCCAAAGCCACAAAATATAGATCTGGGTTTCAAACATCCTAAAGTGGTTTAGCTCTGGAGTATTTTGGCTCAGCCCACAGAGCCTAGACAGGAAGTCTGGAGCAGAATCTAAATATCTCCCCAAGTCGTAGCATCTGGGCAGAGTCCAATTCCTAACGTCTCTATCTATGTCTCCCCACCCTTCTTTCTCTGTCTCCATCTCCCTCTTTCCCTGTATCACACCATGCCTATTTTCGTGGCCACCGACTTATACTGGATGATTCGTTTCACAGTATTTTTCACTTGGAGCGAGTTTCTTCACTGGCAGTCATGAGACCTCTTCTATCCCTTTTCCAATAATTTCACAGTCGAGGCCAAAGGCCTATTCAAACCTGCAGGACTGTTGAGCCAGCATGGCTAAAAGGAACCAGCTGCTGGAACCAGTGGCACACAAAGGATTGGTGCAGCCAGTGTCACATTTGACCACTTTTGCCTCCCCAGCTCCAGTGACCAGGTACACACTGGTGGGTCAGCTAGGGCAGCCTTGGTAAGGGTCTAGAGCAAGGTTCAAACTCCGGCCTCAGGTTGCAAGATGCTTTCACCACTTTGCTACCATACCTGTAAACAGCACAACATACTGCTTAGAATCCCACATCTGGGGCCTGCTTCTGCTCCAATAGGAGTTTCCCCCTTCATCTAAATGGACATAGCTAACCATAAATGAGACCAGGAAAGAAGTCCCCCTCTCCTCAAAGAAGCAGCACAAGGAGGAAGAACAGGAAAATGGATCCTACTCCCCTCTCCACTGATAAATCTTTAAGGAATGGTTTGTCAGGATGCTTCAATGTTTTCTTAGCTACCTGCCCTGTAGGGTCAGGCTAATGACAGGACTATTCTCTTTTCAAGACTGCCAAGTGCTGTGGAGTCAAAGGCGCAATTAGTTACTGAGCAGGCTGGGCGATTTCACACTCATCGTGTCCTACACCCTGTCCAGCTCTGCTGTCTTTAAACCTGGAGAAAATACCTTCTTCCCCCACTAATGTGGGCAGAAAGCTGGTGCCTACAAATGCAGGGAGTCACATTTAGTCACTCATATTGCCACCTGCCTCCTCCTTCAAAGAAAAAAGGTTGGAAGGGTATTCAGCAAGTTTCAAAGGGTTTTCATGGGCTTATTTAAACAGAAGAGTTTTTAAATGGAGATGTGTTTCCTTTGCTCTGATGGGGCACATTGCCAGCAGTAGGAACTACAGCTGTTAGATTAAGATAGTAACTAAATGCAACTACAGGGTCAAGAATATACTGCTCCAGCAGACATCATTTAAAGAGTTAGAGAATAGTCAGTTCCCTGAGCCAATCTGGCTTCCCCCCTTTTGCAGACTAAAAGTAGAATTTCAGTGCATTTCAAGGGCTTTCTGACATTACTCATCATGTGAACTTACCCCTTTGTTGCAGCTGTTTGAGGTGTTGTTGACATATCCTCTGCCTGCTGTGGAGGGCAGCAATGCAAGGGTTGCAAGTTACCTTCCTGGGTCACTTACCTGTTGGGGTGAGGTGTCTCCAGGTGATGACAGGCTCAGGTCTCCCATTTGCCATGCACACCAGGGTCACATTGCTGCCCTCATTCACGGTGATATCCGAGGAAATGTTGGAGATCTTTGGTGGAACTGCGAAGACAAAAGGTGGTTAGACCTTGTTATCTAGAGGTCTGAGGGACAGGGAGCCTGGCTCATATGCAGCACAGTCAACTAGAGTTAGCCACTGACCCCTTACACAGGCAGTGCTAATTATTTTAGATATATACAATATAATAACAATCACCACATCCCACCCCAATTATTCTTTAAAGCCCAACAACAGAACCTAAACACAGGGGAAAAGTTACAAGCCTTTTCTAAGAAACGTGCAGTCTGAATAACCACACAAAGCAATCCAGGCACAAAGTACCCTGGGTGAGCTAGAAGTCATTCTTCTCCAAGAGCACAGAATGGACCTGAGCCATTTCTGAGGTACTGACAAAAATAAACTTATTGGAGGTGAATTGTCCACAGGAAAAAGAGCAGAATTTGACCCGGTAATCTTAGGAACCTTCTTTAAAGTAGTCATGTAAGAGAGGAGATTTTCCAGGGAAGAGAGTCTCTTCTTGTTTGTTTGTGGGCTTCCTAATTTTTGTGTAGTATGCCAGGGGCAGCATTTCAGGCTTGCAATGGGAGGCCATTGCTTGTGGGATTCACCAAACAGATGGGTTTAAAACCAGGATTTGAAAGAAGAGATGGCCACCTGAAGCACCAAATGCAGGAGAGAGGTCTTGTGCAGGAGATAGCTTGAGGAAGGTCTGAAAGGGAGAGGCAGGGACTGATACAGAGGATGGTTTTGTTGGGGGCTTGGCTAAGTAAGAAGCACAGGGGTGGGAAGGAAAGAGAAACAAAGAGGAGAAACAGGCACTGCTAGAGGGAAACTGGAAAGCACAGAGAAAAACCCAGTGGGGCCCAATGCCTCAAGAAGCATTTTGCATTAACTTAGGATATTGCCTTATCTAGTTCCTTTAATACCCAACAGCTGAAGTCCAATGGTGAAGCAAATGGTACTGATGGGTTAAAAAACAGGTGCAGGCTGTAAAAACAACAGGACTTGCCTGGATGTAAGCATATTAAATGAGTAGAAAGTATGTATGGAGGAGGAGGGCACTGAGAAGGAAGACAGCAGTGAAAAACATGCAAGAACCCCAGGTGTGAGGAAGGATGGGCAGAAAGGACAGTTTGCCACCACAGCCTCCTACCTGCTGCTTTTCCTACTATTCCACTAGAAGTCAGATCTCCCCCGTGGGTCACAAGCACCTGCTGATGCAAATAGCATTGCACCACAGTCCCCTGTAAGCTCTACCTCCCCCAGTCTCAAGCCTTTAGCGGGCTGCTGTGTACTCCATGTGCAGTAAGGGACGGGCATTCAAAGGGAACTTGTGAGCAACCCACACGGCTGGCCCACAGCAGCACTAAAGCATGGGTACAGCGCTGCAAGAGTCACAGCCCTTCAGACTCATTTCCGCATTCAAAATATCCCAGCTGGGCCCTTTGCAGCTCCGATTGCATCTGTAGAGCCTAGAGGCACTGCACGCATTTCCTAGCACACTCTGGGCACAGGCCCAGACCATGTATTAATTATTGTTACATCCCCTGAGCAGAGACAATCCATGCTGCTAAACCAGAGACTGCTTTATTGGTGCTGTAAACAACTACTCAAGATGAACTTGACACTAAATGAACTTGTTTCATTGGTGACCAAAGCAGCTGGACTGAAACCTGAGCACAGGAACCAGAGAAGGGAGCTGCCTACCTACCTTAAAAAAAAACCAAACAACCTTTCCCTTACAGAGGATTACAGTTAATAATAATGATTGAACTTCTACAGCATCTTTCACCCAGAAGGACTCAATGAGCTGTCTGCAAAAGTAAGTAATATCCACGATTAGATAGGAGCGTGCAATGCAGTGTAGGGGTAGTGGGGAAAAATAAGACAGGTTTAACTAAGTCCATGGAGGAAAGCCCCTGTCTCTTGGGTGAGGTTACATGTTTCACTTAGACCACACTAAATCTCTGTGATGTTAAAGCTGTGTTTAAAGTCAGAACATACTGTGAGTAGTTGCATGTTAAGACTCAACACCATTTCTTGCCTGCCCAGTTCTGACTTGCCACTTGAGGACTGGAGAGCAGAGGCATGGCTAGGAGCCAGGACACCTGGACTCTATCCCTGCTCTGGGTTGGGGGCAGGGAGAAGGCCGGGTGCAATGCAACCTGGGAATTCCTCATTTTATCTCTGTGGAGTAGAATAAAGTTACCCTAACACAAACTAGGTTGCAAGGTCCAGTTAACCCTCTCCTGAAGTGGCATAACTTTGAGACCCTCAGAGGGCACTTAGCATGAGTAAGCATAAGAATTAGGGCTGTGTGAAGCTTCAGGTGCTGATTCAATTCGGAGGCGATTCGGCCTGATTTGGGGGCCAAATCTCTGATTCCGAATCAAATGAGGAGACCCATTAAAAGGTCTGAATCAATTCGAAGCTCTCTGAATCAATTTGGAAAAGATTCAGAGAGCTTTGGAGATTCGGGCAGTCCCCTCCCACTGCCACAGGGAGCGGGACCCAGACTCTGTGCTGGTAAATGGTGGGGGGGAGCTGGAAGAGGGGGGAAGGAGCCATGGGGGGACCCCTGCCAGGCCCCATACCCTGCCTGCTCCCCCAGCCCTCCTGAGTGCCCCCCGACCTCCGCCCCCTCTCTCAGCCCCACCATGGCTGCCCTGCCCACCCCAGGTCCTGGCTCTTTAAAAAAAATAAAAATACAAAATAAAAAAAATACAAAAGCCCCGACCTCACCAGCTGCTGCAGTGGCCATCAGGACCTCTAGGGGCTCGTGGCAGCATGCAGCATGGGGCAGTGGGGGGCAGCAGGGATCATGCCCCTGCCTGGCAGCAGCTGGTGAGCACGGGACTTTTTTTTCCAAAGAGCTGGGGCTGGGCAGGGCAGCCATTGACAGGGCTGAGAGAGCGGGCGGAGGATGGGGCCAATTCAGCGGCAGCTGAATCTCCGAATCAGATTTGGCTGAATTGATTCGGGACAGTGATTAAGATCACCGAATCGAATCACCGTTCCCCGAATCGGCCAAATCTGAATCCGAAGCAAACACTAGCTGCTTCACACAGGCCTAATGACAATGCTCACATTTTAAGTGCTCTTAGTCTGACCTAAGTATAATGGGTAACTACACCCTTATAAGTTGTCATGGCATCATTAAGGTCTGTAAAGGTTGACAGGACTAGGACTCAGCTTTAGGAGATTCCTAAACATCCTCCAGAGAGGTAGCTTAAATCATCCACTGATGAAATCTGAAGGGCTGAGCTGACCCTGCTGGGATTTGAGTGTGTGACTCCAGGTATTTAGTATCTGCTGCTTAGGCCTCTAAGGTTTCCCCTGAGGCAGTACAGGCTGTTCCAATCTTTCCTTTCTCACATTAATGTCTCACATCCCTGCTTCATACTCAAGAGGATACGGGGGAGTTCGGTAAAAAGGAATCATCTAATTTTTTTTTTTTCATTCTCAGCTTCAGAATGTGTGTGTAGTGAGGAATGAAACAAGATCATTTTCTGCTTTGCTTACCACAGAGTAAACAGACAGACGCTCCCCTCACCCCATCGCTGGCAGCAGGAACGGATGGGTATTTGGAGGCAGCTTTGGACAAGGAGGAGGGAAGGCTCTCCAGAAGGGGCAGCTTGCTCCCACCTGGTCCTACCACATTCTCAAGAACAGGCCATGATGCCTCCATTTCCATTCTATAGGCACCAAACTCATGGCCAGTGTTTTGGAGTCAGGTCAAGCTGAACAGACAGCACGGCACCTCCTTTCTGCACCAGGCTGGTGCTAAAAGACTTTTTTTTTTTTTGGTGTTCTCTCGTCATAACCTTTCTGGTGCTCTCCTGAAGTGCTCTGCACCAAGGGCAGCAGTGTTAGATAGGATTACAGTAAAAATGAAGTCTGCTCTCAATCATGTGTGAGCTCTCAGCTGAAGTTAATGGAGGTGCAAGCACAGAAAGGAAATCTCAATGCAGTCAGGGGCATTTTAAGGGGGCGAATAATACTGCATTTACCTATACAGGCAGGGCCCCTGTTTTCAAGGATTTCAAAGTCACAGAATTACTATTCCATGCATAATTTGAACCTAAAATCTGAGCAGTGATCACCTGCGCCACATGAGTCAAGTAACAAGCCTAGAGCATAATGCATACCTGAGCCTGCTAGTAGCCGGAAAAAATAGTTCTGAAAACTGCATTTTGGAGACCCCCAGCATCTATCGGCCACATAATATGGCAGCTTGCTGTGGTCAGACATGCACCACTTCATTACCACAGGAGGTGGTGGAGGCAGATAGCATAGCAACATTCAAAGAGGGACTACACAAATCCATAGATGATAGTAGCTATTGAACAGAATGGTTGGAGATGTTCCCTCTGGTAGGTATTGAATAGGGGATAGATCACACTAGAGATATCTGGTTCAGTGCTCTCCCTCCACAGAATCCACTTCTACCACTGTTGGAGACAGGAACTGGGCTAGATGGACCATTGGTCTGACTGAGTATGGTATTTATATTTTCTCTTGCCTTCCTACCCTGCTAGGATCTGCTTACTGCTCTGCAGCATCCACCACAAAGGGAGTTATTGGGACAGCTGTGCTTGCTTTCAGCATTTTTCTCTGGAGCCAACTTGAGCAGCATGTAGGGAGGAAGCCAAGAAGCTGGGTAGTTATGACTGCAGGCTGGTGGAAATAGCTTCCTGGAGAACAGCAAAGCAGCCTGGGGCAAAAGATCCAGGGAGATGAGGTGTCTTAAAATAGCTGTCCCCTCCCCTGCAACATGTGGAAAAGAAAAGCGATGCTGAGCTGTACCACCTAGTCAACAACCTGGAGCCAAGGCTTGGGGGAAAGCAAGTCAGGTTGCCTACAAAGGACCCATGTTATCAAAAATAAATCCCTATGCAATTTTACATCAAATAAGTATATCCAGCTAGGGCCCACAGTTTTGTGCTGGGGGGAGAGGGAATAGGAGTAGTGCCCTGGGGCAGACTACATTTTTGTGATTGGGGAATGGAGGGGTTACTGCCATGGCACTGAAGGGCCATTG